CCCCAGGACTGCACGTACAATAGGAGTACAGGCAAGCCTCACACTGCTGGCTTATATTCCCCTTCCATTCCTGCCCTCCTGCTGCTGGCACATTCATATACCTCTGCAGCACCTCCATGATACTAGCCTGCATCTGCAAAGCTCACTCATCACCCTGTCACCCATGCAGAAAGAGGCTGTTCCCTTATTAGCAGCCACTGATCATTTCAATATCTGACTGCTGAAATACCAAAAATGGAATCAGGAGTGAGGCCTAGAAAAATGTGCATAATTCAAAGGGAGAATCCCTGGACAGACTAACAAGTTATTCAAACTCACTAAGAAGAGTGAAGGACAAAAAGAAAAGTTAATTATTTAAGTCTGTATCAATACTACCACTTGTTTCAAATGAGAGTACAAGAGTAATAAAATAAAATCTTGTAAAAATCTGAAAAATTGTACAACTCAAAAGAGATCTCTCCACTTGACATTTCCACTGTTCATTTGTGCAGAACCAATTTCTGGAAAGATTACTTATAATTAGATTTTCACTCACAGCTGTACAGCAAAAATTCAGGAGGATCACAAATTGTAAGCAGATGAACTCCATTGACAGGGCATCTCTGAAACTTCAGGGTAAAAGCTTGCCTAACTTGAGCATTTAAAAGGACAACCAAACTTATGTAACACTAGACTTTATAACTTCCTTTTCATATATAAAGCTTAATGCCAATATTTAAAAAAGAAAAAGAAAGAACATTATAGTTCTGACACACTTAAAACAAAGACCAGACCACATGATAATTATTTCTAGTATTCTGGGATTCATGTGGTGTATTAAATGTATTTTAGATGTCTTTGCTTTAGTCTTTTTGGGATTTCACACAACATCTTAGAACTGTTTAATGAGGTTCTACATTTAATTCCCTTCTACTCTTTTTGATTTGGATATACCACTCCTCATGAACACTTCTATGTTCTAACCACACACAAGAGCTCTCCTTGAATTTTCCTGACCATGCTGCTAGGTGGTACTACAATTCCTATCAGAACCAATGACAGTGCCACACAAGAATACACAGTAGTCCAATACTCAGTTGTTGCATAATCTTTGCTCTCACTCAGCTCAACACAGTTGTTGCCTCCAGGCCCACACAGGCACGCTGCTTGGATTTGTGGATCGTAAAGGGAAGCAGGTGACTATAACAACACTGCAGTAGAACAAAGCCATCCATTAGATCAGTAACGTACCGTTACTCCAGATATAATTGGGGCTTTTCCTTCAATTAGTTTATATATTTCTTGAACTGCTTCCTCATCACTCTTGTCTTTAAATCGCTTCTTGGAGAGTTCTTGAAGAGCTTCCTTAAACTGCTCAAAAGTGATAGTTCTGGAAGACTTTCCCCTGTCAAAAGACACAGAAATTGAAAGAAATTACCAGAGAGTACAACAAGGTTTCCAAGAATAGCAGAGTGGTTTCAGTTTACCACAATGAACAACAGAAAACTGCAACAAAACAGGAAGATCCATGCAGCCCATCTATGGTGACAAACAAAACATATCCCAGGAACATCACTTTCTTTTTTATGTACATCAGTACGACAGTGCTTTAGAAATTTCCCTTGATGAATGTTCAGAAATAAAGAGGAAATAAAGGGCCTGGCCTGGTGTCAGAATGCCTTCAGCTCATCAAATCAAATATAGTCTCATTTGGTTGATCACTTGTAAAGCCTGCATGCATAAAAAGACAGGAACTGAAGCATCTTAGGTAAGTTTTGTTATTTAATATCTTCTATTCCTCTTTGAATAACTGGTTACAACATATTATTCATAGGTCACTATTCATGTATTCACAAGTAAATTAAGAGCGATACTTTGTGTAAAGCAAATTACTGAAAAGAACTTAAAAATTTAAAATTCCTCCTCTACTAAAGACTGACAAAATTTAAAGTGATGAATTTAAATTCAAAACCTGGTTTCCTTGTTAGACCATCACCTTCATAAAACATTCACAGATTCATGGAAAACACCATACAGTAGTCTGATAAACTCATTATCTGCCCAGAAATTCACAGCTGAAGACTTGCCGTTGTTTTCACTAATAGGAAGCCCATATTTACACACTAGTAAACTATTTGCTAAGGCTTACTTTTAGTGCAGAGGATTTTGCTATAGCAGTGTACAGTGCAAAATCTGATGAGTGGGAAATTCACGCTTTACAAACACCTATTTATACAGTCACTCCTGCAGATCTTTTACACCCGTCAGGCCAAAGGGTTCAATTGATAAAACTCTTACAAAGAAACTCAGCATTCACTACAGAGTTGTGTTTAACCAAAAGGGGATTAATGACAGTCTATTTTCTAGCATTTTAAGATATTCAGTTTAGGCAGGAGATAACGTAGTGGAGTACAGGCTGTTCCTTTCTTTTCCCTAATATGAAACTATTTTTAGTGTTCCTCATTTTAAAATTGAGGTATGAGGCCACAGTATTAGTGAGATTTCTCACCATTTAAAAACAAATAAAATGTTTCTTTGCTATGAATTATATCACATAAAAACCCACACCTTTTCCTGTATTATTAAAATACAGATACCTTGATCTTTAGAACAAGAATTTACACTCCATAATTTAGCCGTATGTTTTAAGATGAAATTAACAGATCAAATAGAAAATTTTTCAAAAAGATGTTACAATACACTGATAACCTTAAGTAGTAGCATCTTTAATAGAGTAAGATGCTTTCAGTTGCTTACAAAATTATGAAACCCTCACAGTCAAAGAAATATTTGAGAGTCCACATCGCTGGGATAGATGCTACTACACGAGTTTTGTTTCTGCTTAAGCCATTTCTTTTAATGCTAATTTAGAGAGCATCTACACCAAATCAGAAAAGAAGCAAAAAAAAACCCAGAACAAAACAACCAAAACCCACCAAACAACCCAGACCAGTCCTTTTAACAGTGACAGCTGTTTATACAGGAACAAACGACAGATGCAAGGATAGAGAAAGTGTGCACTGGCAACAGAAATCTCAGGCTAGAAAACTATGCATAGAAATCTAATTTTAATTCAAGTGTCACAAAGACCCACTGTAAAGAGCAATTCATCTATCTATCTACCTATCATCGATTGGTCTTTGATCTTCTCTCAGACACCTTCAGAGGTCAAATCACAGAATGGTCAGGGTTGGAAGGGACCTCTGGAGATCATCCAGTCCAACCCCCCCGTCAGAGCAGGGTCACCTACAGCAGGTTGCACAGGACGGTGTCCAGTTTTGAATGTCTCCAGAGTGGGAGACTCAGTTGGAGGGTGCCTTCCACTAATGAAAGGGAGAAGTGAGATTTCTCAGTTTTAGACACCAACAGTTAGGAATGTGACTCCTACTTAAATTAAACAGAAACTGAAATTTTATCCCAGGCTTATAAAACAAGGAGAAATTGGTTATTCACAACAAAATTCAACTTTAATGCAACCCTTTACATACAGCTCATTACTAATATCCTTTATTTCCAACGCAGCCCAACATGTAGCAAATCCCTACACCCTTCACACTCCCTATTTTAGCCAGAAATAAACTTATCTGTTTTTTGATCAAACTTTGCTGTTCGCAACTACTCATCTGCTTTAGGTGAAGCATATGCTGGAGTACCTCATGGAATTAGCTAGTGAAAGGACATAATGACAGTGGAAATGAAGGATATAATCCAGTATTTCATTAAGCAGAATGACACATTGAACAAACTGCAATTAACTACTTGGAATTTGTCCAGGATTCTCATTAATAGGATTTAACATCCCTCTTCTGATGAAACATGCCCAAGAACTTTTTGGGAACCAGGACTTCATTTTGTTTTGCCTCTCATTTAGAAAAAGATGGCATTGGCAATCACTGCAAAGCTCCAGCATAACACCACCCAAAGGCCTGTGTTCACTACGGACTCACAGCCAAGTCTAACATACAGACCTTTCCAATGCAATTTTCTGGAGCACATAGGTTGCCTGGAAGTCTCCAATCAGGATTGCTACAGTTTAGCTTGGATCATCAGTCAGGATCATCACAATGGGAAAGGGAATGACTGCTTTCAGCAAAAACTGTTGAAGTTCATGTTGACTTCTTTTATTTTTATTAACACATTTAATAATATGTTGGTTTCACATTTATCAAATAGAAGAGCAAGACTTTTTTTCCCTGTATTAAAAGGAAAAAGACATAAATAAGGGTGCCAAAAGGAACAAAGAACATCTCCCTCTGATCTAAGACATAGCCATTCCTACCTTTCACATTTGATCTTTTTCCTGTCACACTAACATGCGAAAATGAAATGATTTGTTTTTTCCCCTCCAACTTAAGGTGTAACCACAAATTGGATACATATGTGAGCAACGTAGTATTGTTGCTGGACCCAAAAGAAAAAGGAATGTGCATCATGGCAGATATTCTTTACCAGCAAAAAACATTAATTGGAGTGACACTGAAAATAGGATTGGGAGTAAAAGAATTTTTGGAACTATGTCCCGAGTAAAAGTTTCCTAAATAAAGCAGTGGCAATTTTGAAATTCATTACTTTTTTCTACACTCCAAAAACATCCTCTCTCCCGCTTGCATCTATTACAATATTATCAAACCCATTTGAAAACCACCATAATTAACTCAAAAATTCAACAGTTGCAAGGTATGCCAAGTCTTGTGGAAAACCCTAAGAACATAACACTTGATTAACTCACAATGCGTTCTGGCACTTTTGGTATGCTATGTACAGTACATGTATGCCATGTACCATAGAATCTAAATTATCAAGTAGTAATGCTACAACCCCTCCTGTCTCTAGAGGCAGGTCTGAAAGAGCTCTCAGCAGTCACTGTCATCATTGTTACTCAGCAGAATGGCATGCTCTTGCCCTCTCTTCTGTCTGTACAGTCATGGGTTGAATGCAGAGAAGAAAACAGACTGACTAGGTAGAAAAGACAGAGGCAAAGTCTCTCAACAAACCTACATAGCTCTTGATTTACACACTCTTAAGCCACAGGACCAGTCTGCTCCAGGTCCACAAAAATGCCCTGCAAAAAAGGATTTAGGGGTACTAGTAGATGAAAAATTGGACACAAGCCAGCAACGTGCGCTTGCAGCCCAGAAAGCCAACCGTATCCTAGTGTGCATCAAAAGAAGCATGGCCAGCAGGTCAAGGAAGGTGATTCTGCCCCTCTTCTCCTCTCTGGTGAGACCTCACCTGGAGTACGGCATCCAGCTCTGGAGCCTTCAGCACAGGAGGACCTGTTGGAGCAGGTCCAGAGGAAGGAAGTAAAAACGATCAGAGGGATGGAGCACCTCACCTGTGAGGAAAGGCGTGGGGTTCTTCAGCCTGGAGAAGAGAAGTCTCCAGGGAGACATTATATTGGCCTTCCAGTTCTTAAAGGAGGCTTATCAGAAAGATGGGGACAGACTTCTTAATAGGGCCTGTAGCAATAGGACAAGGGGTAATGGGTTTTAACTAAAAGAGGTTAGATTCAGACTAGATATAAGGAAGAAATTTTTAATGATGAGGGTGGTGAAACACTGGCACAGGTTGCCCAGAGAGGTGGTAGATGCCCCATCCCTGGAAACATTCAAGGTCAGGTTGGATGGGGCTCTGAGAAACCTGATCTAGTTGAAGATGTCCCTGCTCATTGCAGGGGGGAGGTTTGTCTAGATGACCCTTAAAGGTCCCTTCCAAACCAAATCATTCTATGAAAAATGATAATACTATGATCATTGCATGACACGCAAGCCAGTTGTACCCTTAGTTTATTTCCGCCATTTTTAATGCCCTGTTCGCATTCAGGAAGGCCCTTCCTGACACCAGCTTTTCAGAGGTCATGAAGTTTAACTAAAAAAACCAACTAAAAACCCCCAAACAAAAGTTAGTTTCTATTAAGCAACTGCTACAAAGATTCAGTTTCTTTGTGTGTATTTGTAACTTGTTTTTAGGAGCTCATTACAAATATCTCATTTCCATGGGAACAACAAAACAAATATATTAACTTTCATTTTCCAAGTGTTACACGTTCAAACAATTTGTCTACAATTAAGTATGCCAAGGGTGATCTCTCAGCTATTAACACTCTTCTCTTATCTCCAGATGGTTAACAGGGACCTAGAAAGACAAAATACTGTACATTAAAATAGGGGAAAAAAAAGAAAAAAAGAAAAAAGGATGAATGGAATAGAAGGAATGTGTGAACAGCTACAGAAACACAACACAATCAGACACTGGAAATGCAAATTAAATCTATTGACCAGAAAATGAGACAAAATGGAAAATATCAATAGAGCGAAGGTGGGGAAAAAAAGGCTTTTACGAAAACAAACATCATAAGGTTGGCCACCTCAATGAAAAGAACAAAATATATATGAGGGACATTAA